AAAATAAGTTAATTTTATATTTAATTATAACAGTTATTTGATAATAATTTATTAATTTATTTTATAGTAATTTATTAATTTTTTTATTTATTTATTTAATAATAAGTTATTTAATATAATTCCTTTTATTTATTTGATAACATATTCTTTTATTGATTTATTAATAATAGATTCTTTATATAGATGAGAAATAAAACCCCTTAATAACAATCAAAACTTAGACAAAATTATATTAAAATCATAATAAAGAATATGACGAAACTATTTGATATAACAAAAGCTGAAACTGGCAAAACTATATTAACACATAGAAAAGGGTATAATGAAATTATTTTAAGGAAGTTTCAGTAAGCATCTATAATTCTTTATTTTTTATTTTAATAGCAAATCTTTTATTTTAAGTTAATTTTAAGCATCTATTAACTTTTCAATAAGAAAAAAAGAATTATAATAAAATTAAGTCAAATTTTTAAATTTAAATACTTTTTCAATTGAAATTAATTTTAAAATTTGTTGAAAAAATTGATAATATTGATAAAAATAATACTTTATTTCTTTTAAACATTGAAAATATAAATTAAATAAGTGAAAAAAATGTTAAAAGAAAAAGAATTAACATAATTAGATAAAGAAAAGAAGTTAAAAGATAATTCAAATATTAAGTATAAGAGATAATTTTTTATGTGAATATATATATTTAACAATAAATAAAAAACAAAATAAGAACTTAAAAATTTATTTAGTTTTACTCTTAATATTTCTAATTATTTAAAATAGAAGAATTAGTAATTTTTTTATTTCATGTATAGTTTCTTTTAAAATTCAAATATTTAAATAAATTTTAATTATCAATTATTTTAAATAATTATTTATTTTTTATTTATTTATTTATTTTCCTTTTTATTACTCTTTTTATTTTTTTAAATTTTTTGATCACCTGATTTTTATTTTTTTTTATTTATTAATTATTTAATTATTACTTTTTTTTTAATTTAATTTTTTTTTATTTTTAATTTTTTTTTAGTAGAATAATAGATAAATAATAAAATAATAATTATACTATTATAATATATAAATATAAATAATAGAAAAAGTTTAAATAAAAATAACTAGAATATTAAAATAATAAAAATGTAAGTAGATTATAAAGATAGATTATATTGAAGTAATTAAATTATAAATATTAGATTATAAAATAGTATTTAGATTATAAAATAATATTTAGATTATAAAGTGATAATCAGATTATATTTATTTTATTTGAATTATGAAGTAATAATCAGATTATATCTATATTATTTAGATCATAATAATAATTTTATTTAATAATTTAATATCTTTATTTAAATAATTTTTAAATTAAAAGTTAATAAACTTATAAAAATTACTAAATTCAAAAATTTAAGGATTATTTTTTTATAATAATTTTTAAATAAAAATAATTTATTATGTATAAGTAATTAAATTTTTTTAAAAATGTTTATTTTAGATTATTTAATAATTTTATATTTAAATACAAATAAAATATTAATAGAAAAAATAATAAAATTATAAATAAAATAAATTTAAAAAAAAAATTATGTTTAATTTATAAAGAATTATAAATAGTAATTTTAGTAAGATATAATAAAAAAGTAAATTTATTCATTGCAGAGAGAATGACACTCCTTATACATTACCATTATATATATATATACCTTACCCTAACCTTAATCCTAATCTAACTCTAAACTATATAACACTAACAGATATGACAAATAAGATTTTACACATAAAATAATTTCTGTTTTTAGAATTTATATAAAAAATGAAAAAGGGAGAAGTGTGATACAAGTGACAAAAAGAAGGTGATAATATTATATTTGCAAATGAATAAATTTATTCATAATAAAATATCTTAAAATTTAATGAAAATTTTAATAATATAAATAACTTATTCTTAATATTTTTTTTTTTAAAAAAAAAAAAAAAAACTAAATAAAATTAGTTACTTTATAAATTTATATAAACAAATTAAATTTATTAAATAAATAAATATGATATAAATATAAAATTTATTAATATTAATTATTTAAAAGATATAAAAATAAATAATATCTATTTTAATTGATCAATTTATATTAATGATAAAAGAAATTCAAAAGATCAGTTAATTCTAAATAAATATACCTGTATATTTAATATTTTTATTTGAATTTTGATGTATTTGAAGATTTAATCCAACCTGTTAAAAGAAATAAATTTTTTAAATAGTTTACATATTTTTTTTTTTTATTAATGTTATATTGTAAAAGTCACATAAAATTAACTCTAAATGGACTTTTTGATTGTTACAATTCAACTCTAATGATTTTCCTAGCAATCTTTCCATATATAGAAAAAATAGTAACTTGGACTAAATACCAATGTGGAAACTATAATTGAGAAATTGGATGATATAGGAAAAAGTTAACATTTTAAGTCGGCCTATTTGAATTAGAATATTCTAAATTTCATTTAACAGTTTCTAAATTTCACATAAAAGATGATTCGCAATATCGCAACCTTATGCGTTTTTCACGTTTACCTAATTTAAATTAGCATTTTAAAAGAACAATAACACTTGTATCTAAATTAGCAAAAGCTATAGAAGCGTCAAAATTAATAATATTGTTTCATTTTATTTGTTGATAAATAAAAATCACTGCGCCAATCCTCCTATAAAAAGAAAATTCTGAAAACTTCTATTAAATATTTATTCATATTTTTTTGTAAATTATATCACTTGGGGATGTAGCTCAGTGGTAGAGCGCTCGCTTTGCAAGGACGCCCTGTTTGCGAGAGGTCCTGGGTTCGATCCCCAGCTTCTCCACTTTAAATCCCTTCTTTTTTTTCCCCCCTAAACGATAATTCTATTGATTTCCATTGGCTATAATTTTTTTATTTAGATCGTCTGGTGAGACAAATTATCAGCTGAACACGGAGGTGATAAATTACAGTTTCCCTAAAAAAACACAATATTAGGCAAATCATGGACTATTACGTATCTTATTTAACTTTTATTTAATTAAATTTATAAATTAGCAACTTTTATTACACATATTTTGTTGTTGACCATACTTCATTTCAAATCTAAAGTATACGTCTTGTTTCCGAATTTACAAACCATACAATTGATAAAAAAAATGTGTTGCGATATTAATTCAAAAAATTCCGTCTCTTTAATTGCATCACATAAAGAACTATCTATACTGGATCCTCCAAGAGCCCATAGAATACTCGCATGGAATCGTGGATTCTATGAAATAAAAAAGTTCAAATTATTGAATTAAATAACAAAAAGGAGGATCAAATAACTTCATGGGTTTACCTCATAAAACGGTTTTTGTTGAAAATCTTTTGCCACTTTATTAACAATATTAACCATCGATTTCAACTAATAAAATTTTTTAACTTTAATATTAATAAAATTGCAAAAAAAATTATCCAATGATAAACATAACATCATACCTCACTTGAACCTTTGCCTACTTCTAAAGCCATAAAAGATCTAGTATCATCATCATTTGAAAAACCAGCAATATTGGCAAATGACAGAGAAAATCTAAGAATTAAATTTCTTTTTTTTTAATAAAAATATAAAAATAATAATAAATCACGGATACATTTTATAAATTATCTTTTACCTTTTCCTATTAAGAAATCCTTTTTTTATTTTTGTCCAAAAATTTTCAATATGATGATATTTTAAAAGTAAAGGTCTCGATAAGCTAATATGCAATTTAGTTTCTTCAAAATAATCGTTATCGTCAAGTTCATCAACGTCATCATTGACATTATGTTTTTCAATACATGAAAAAATTTTAACACCATCTTCATTAACAACTTCTTGTGTTAATTTCTTAATTTTTTTTATAATAAGATCCATTTCCTCGGTAAGTACGACTAAAATTCTCGGGATTTTAATAAAGGAAACGGTAACTTTAATGATGCATTGGAAGACATCAAATATGCGCGTACCTTCTAAATAAACGTGAGTGGCCCAATTACCCTCAACATGCGGACTAGTTCTTATTCGACCTTGATGTAATGATGGATCATCAATATGTTTAGTATAGTCTTTTCTTTTTTTATCTATAACCAAAAAAAGAAAAAAAAATTAAATTATCTTTAGAACAAAAGTAAATAATCTCAAGGAGATAATTAAATAATCACACTTACTTGCCTGGATACAGTTGTAAAAAATCCGAAGGAAGCGGTGGTAAATCCTTTCGTGGTAATTCTTTTAATATCGATCCTCTTTTCTTGCTAAATGAAAAATAATGAAGTGAAACGAAAAAAGTTTTTATTAAATAATTAATAACAGTTAAAGTTTACCTCGCTATTGTACTTTCTTTATCCAAAACGTAAATTTCTTTACGTTTCAGTACTGTTTCACTTGAAGTATTCTCCTCCCAATTTTTATCAATTTCGTTTTTTTTCTCCTCTTCATCTGATAAATGATAATCCGATAAATAATCGACAAGAGATAAATTTGATTCTTGTTGACTAATGTCATTTAGTTGTTTTGAATTAATTTCACTATCCGATGATTCATAATCTACTAATTCACTCATTTTATTTATTTATATTGAAAGATAAATTAACGCTAAAGAAAGAGAGAGACGCGAAATTGTTTTTGAAGATCAAATAATAATAATCATTTTATTAAAAAAAATTAGCCTTGTGTCACGGACTTACATAATCAGATTACAAACAGGTTAAAAAAGTAATTTATTTTATCAATTACATGTAAAAATCTTTAAGCTATCTACTTTAAATAGTCATTATTTCTGTAAGTTGATCACGAAGTAATTTATGTAAATAGTTAAGCGAAAAAGAGAAATATAAAGAGCTATAAATAACAATGCAAAAAGTGAATAAGGATCACGTCTTTTTATGATGAAACCATAAAATCAAATGATACTTACAATTCCTAAAGGATCAGGTCGCGTATGTTTTAACGGACTCACATGACGCTCTTATTCAGCTTTATTCTTTATAAAGAAAAGATGGATTTCAACATAACAAGAAAGTTTTTCCTTTCCTTAAAGAAAATTAATCTTAAAAAAAAAAAAATATTCACCTTTGGATTATCTGCGCTATTTTTCCAATTGCTAGCGGCAAGTTTGAACGCTTCCTTGTGATCCATGCCAGGATTTTCGGCCTTGACCTTAGGAAGTTCAGTTTTCATAAAAATATTGTAAGCAGTTGGCGCTTTCTTGGCTATTAAGTAACAAAGTGGATCATTGTTAGCTCTACCACGATAATTCTGAATAAAATAAAGTAAAAAAAGTTTTTTACATACTCGTTCCGTCTGTTTCCTTACTCTTACTAGTCTTGGTATCCTTTGCATCTTTCTTTGGAGGCATTTTACAGGAATAATTACCAAAGTCACCAAATGTATTATGATTGTGCGTATTTGAAAAAAAAGAAAGTAAAGAATATAGAAGAAAAAGATGAAGTTTATTAAAAATAATTTATTAGTATTTATTTATACGTCCTGAGTATATGATGTATTCGTTAATTACATCATAAAAAATACAACTGCTGCGCCATATATGATTACAAATTAGCGCGTAAAAGAACGGTCTATTAATACTTTAACTGTTTTCCTTTATTTCTACTTCGGATTCAATAAAAGGTTGTTGTAGTGTACATTGATATTTTTTTTTTTTTTTGTTTAGAATAATATTACAAATAAGAATATAAAGATACATACGAAAGAATTACAAAGAAATTGCTATAGATTATAAATTAATTATTTGAATTCAAAAAAAAAAGAGAATGTAAATTCGATATAAAAATTACATTTTAATAGTATGAAAAATTAAATTCATAACTTTTCTATATATTTCTTTATATTCGCTGAATAATACAAAATAAATAAACATTATTTTTTCATCAAATTACAAAAAAAGGTCATGTTTAATCACCTAATTTTTTTTTTTTTTTTTTTTTTTTTTTACCCTTTCAAATTTATATTATCTGGGTGAACCTGCACCTTTTGCATTATTACTAATGAAAAAATGAATGAGTAAAGAATTAAATCATTTTTCTTTCATTTAATCATCGATTGCCCAACGCGGTGGGCGAGTAGGAGGGTCTGATGAGCTTGTAATGTTGTTGGATGGTCGTTGTGTAGGTAAACTGTAGGGTCTAGAGACTTTATCAAAAAATAACTGTTTAATGAATATGTATCGTTCCTTAATTAATCATATTAAATGATACATACGATGTGGTTTTAAACCTTTTCCGAAATTTCTTAGTACAAATATTGACCATAATAGCGTTACCTGTGTGAAATATTTTATGTATTAGTATCCTGTAATAAGCAATAAATAAAAAATTTATCACGTAATATACTAACCAAACCCATTACAAGTCCAATAACAACTACCACGAGGAAAAAAGAAAGAAAATATGATTAGAAAAATTACTTTATTATCTAACTATATATAATATATATCATAAGAAGTTTTTTTTTTACTTACTAACGGCGCTGAAAAAGTACCAACTTTCCTCGCTAGAAGACTTAATTGAAAATTTAAGTAATATTATAAAGTCGGCAATACATACTATCCAAGCTCCAATAAAGATTTTCATTCCTAAGGAAGACTCACTACGTAACTAATAATTTCAAATTACATTAATATATCACTTTAAACAACAAAACTTACTAAAATTTATAGAAATTATAAAAAATTATAAAAATAACTTACCGAACGATAAGCAAGTATTTGCGATAAAACAATAATAATCGTTATACAGACGTGGAAGTAATATAATCTCGAATCAGTTAAACGGTTGGGAGGTGATACCGTACAGGCTTCAATAGCCAGATAACTCATAAAGAAAAGATCAATCTTTAAAAACATGACGAAAATTAACATTGTTCGATAAAGTCCTATTTTTTTTTTTTTAAAAAAATAAAAATAAAAATCAATATAATGCTATAATAATGATTATAAATGAATATATAACGAACTTACTTTGCATCCTAAGGTCAGCGCCAATTTTTTTATAAATATTCCAGCCAAATTGACGATATAATTGCCAGGTGAAAAAAACTTGTAAAGTTGCACATATTAATAGTATTATTATCAATGGAACCTCGTAAGTTTCAATATTAACTTCTATACTATGTTTGTCACCATCTAGTTTATCAGCATTTAGACATTCATATGCTTGTTTCTTCCATCTATTAATTTCAACAATTTGCACTATTTCAACAAGAGCGCATAGATAATTGATAACTGCGATAGTTATAATTTGTATTGTATTTTGATTATAAATCTAGGAATATATATACATAGTTAATATATAAAATCCTAAATAATAATCACTTGCTAAATAAAAAAAAATAAAATAAAATAAAATTAACTTACTGCATTTTGACAAAACCAAAGTTGAAATATATTAAATATGAGGAAAATTACATTTTCACCAATTATATTTTTTATTCTATCACCGACAAGTTTTGAACAGTCATCTTTTCCTCCATTGTTATAGTAATAATTAAATTCATTTGCAACATCATGATTTCTGTCTATTATTCTGGACATTAAAATTATGGCAAGAACTGCCTGGATAATGGAGGTGATAATGAAATATTGTGTCCATTTTGATTCAGTAAATCTTTCATACTGGAATATTTTTTTTTTTTTTTAGAAAAATTATTAGTTTATATATCTTATTTTTCGACATGTTATAAACGTTCATTGTTATAATTGTTCTTAATGTACATACCAATTTTTTAAAATATACTTTTATTTTTTCCACAGTAATAAAATCTGTATAATGATCCATAGATAGAAATCTCGTCATATATAATTTAATTCAAGAGAAAGTATCAAATTAAATTAAATTAAATTATTATATTAAATTTTTTGTTTTTTGAAAAAAAAAAGGACTCATTCGAACAATTCTCTCTTTCTCGTTCCTTCTCAAATAAATAATGAAAGAAAGGTTATACTAGTTTAATCGTTTAGACGTTTTGCAAGGCGTGGAGTGAGCAAAAGCGATAAAGAAATAAAGGAGTCAGAGAAGAAAAGAAGAAAGGGAAGAGAAAGAGAAGAATTGAGAAGTATAAAAAAAGTCAAGGGTTTCATTTATCGTTCCATTGTCAATCTATAATAAAATCCTGACTTATTATAAATTTATACTAAATTTTGGTACTTTCCCCGAAATTCCGAAATAATTTATGCGTCATAAAATCTCCATTTTATATATTTTTCGTGTGACTAAAGTTTAATAAAGCATGTTACGAAATGCATTATGCATATGAAGGTTGCTTTTGGGAAAAAATTTTATAAATCGTTAAACATTAATTCGACAAATCGTTGATCTTTACTTAATTCGGAACGAAGTTAATCAATCATATTTGTAAAGACCTCTTTATTTCATAATATCATATGTTATTTTTGATTATTTTTGCTTATAAGTTCCGAGTAAAAGTAATTATCAACGTGACAAATGTTGGACAAAGATCTCATCATCGGAAAGAGGGGTTAAGCCAAGACTTAAAATTTTGCTTACGTAAACGATAATAAATGCTGTAAAACTATATAAATGGATTATAAAAGGTAAATAGTTTTAATTATGACGTTAGTTTGATCGACGCACGGCTAATGTAAAATCCGTATGAGTGTAGACGTTCCGGCTCCCTGTTTGCGGTTTGCGGTAACTGTTTGTGGTAAAGTATGTTAATAAATCATCCATATTTTATGTGCTTCAACGCGAAAATGCAAAAAGCACTTCCACGCAGAAGTTTAAATTATCAATGACAATTGCTTATAGTAAGTACATAATCTGTAATATGATAATCAAAATTTTATATTAAAAAATTAGGTTATTTACCTAATTATATTAACCTAATTATATTTTTAAATTCTATCTTATGGTTAAACTTTATTCTTTGTTTAAATTAAGCTTTTAAATAAGATATTACTTATTTTATAGGGCGTCCTTAAAATGAACCCCGGGTTCAGGCTCTTATCCTAGACCGCAAATGTATATATCACGTGATAAGTACTTTAAAAAATTATACATGGGGTCTAGGATAATAACCTAAACCCGGAGACTAGGATTAATTTGCCCTTATAAATTATTGTATTATTAAGGTATAATATATTACATTATTAGGCCGAGCGTAGCGAAGGACTATATATGTACAACTATGTGTTACACAAGTGTCGCTCAATAATTGATTGGCACAAAGTGAATTTTTTAGTTAAGATCGTTTCGGAATTAACAACGGTTCCCGTTTCCTAGTCATATAATAAATAAAGATATTAAATTAAAATATAAAGATAATGATGTAGTTTTTTTTTTTTTTAGAAATACTTTTATAATTATTAAATATAATTTAAATTTTCTTTTTTAGTAATTAATATTTATCTCTTAATCTTATTAATATTATGCTAAGTATTTTAAAAAATAATAATCAGAAAAATTTTCTTTTAATTATTAATTTTATATTATAAAATATTTATTGTTGAAAATTTTAATTATATATTAAATTATTTAAAAACTTTTATTAATAAAATTAATAAATATATTAAAATATATAATTATATTATATAGCTTTTATAATTAATGTAACCTGTTACTCCTAAAGAATATTACTATATAAAAGTTCAATTATAATTATATTATTAAAAATAAGATTACATAATATTACTATAGGGTTTTGAGATAAATATTCTATTATCTTTTAACATTTTGTATTCTGATTTACTTAAAATTAATATTGATTTTTAATATATTAAAAAAGCTTCTAAAAATTTTAACTTTTTAATTTCTATATTATCATCAGTTTCATTTTTGTTTATCTTAACGTTTAAGTTGAAAGGCTGCAGCAGCTAATTCTACACATTGGAGTTTCTGACTTTAGGATTTTCTCTAAGTCTTATAGGTATCTGTTATACTTGAATCAACTCAACAATTTATCACATCTTAGAATTTAAGATATATTTAATCAAACTCATAATGACAAACTCAATAGCAAGTTAATGTAAGGTATCATAATAATTCTAGATGAGGGACAATGTTAAAAGAAAAAGTAGTTTGTATAGATTTAAATTGATTCCTTTATTTATAACTTGAAACTCGCAAAAGAGTTAATAAACTTGCAAAGAAGTTAATTTACAACTTAAGCAAAAAGTTATTCTATTTATACCAAATTAATTTGTTATAGCTAACTACTTACTACATTATAAATTAATTAAATATAAATATATGTTTCAATAAAAATATATAATATAATAATAAAAATAATATAAACTATAAAAATAATAAAAAGAAATAAAATAAGTTACAGATATTAAAGAAATTACAAGTGAAACAGAATAAATAGAATAAACAGACTGTACAGAAAATACAGAATAAATAGAAGAAATAGGCAAAATAGAAATTATTGTTGATCACTGTTTGACGTAACAGTGATGTCACTTAATATAAGATCATCATTAATCATCAAATCTCACATAATATTTAGAACTGTAATTTCTTCTGTTAATAATATTAACTTTTTAATTATATTTAATAAGTTTAATATATTCAATATATTAAAAATTATTTTTACATAGATTAAATTATTAAATAACATATTAATCATATCCTTTTAATTATTTTGTCTACAAATTTGTAGGTAATTTATTTATTAATTACAATTATTTTTAATTATTTTTAAATATTTTAAATATATTATTAAAAAAATTAATAATTTTATAATAAATTTTACAATATTTTCTAAGTAAAAATTAAAATAAAATATAATTAACTAGTGATTTTTCAAAGATAAATAATTAACTATTATAAAAAAGATTAAAAATTTTAAACTTATATAGTTTGCTATCTATTAATCTTAGAAATATAAAAATACTACTATTTAATAGGTCTTAATGTGATGAATTTAATAAATTAAATTTTATATTTTTTGTAATTATTTTTTTAAAGATACGATAATATTCATATTTATTATGAAAATTTAAATCCAGTAGATTAATACATAAATATTCCAAAAATCAGATATAAAAGTAAAAAAATAAATTAAATTATCTAAAATATTTTTATAAATTAAAAATTTATTAGTCTTAGACCAACTGATTATCTTGTTATACTTCAAAAATAATTATTAATAGAGTCTTCATCAATGCATAACAACTAGATTATTACTACACCTCTCAGTAGTTATAAAATGGGCTTTTTGGCACAAAACGTATATAAGCATCATTTGTCTTCAGAAGGTTATCCTGGGTATCA